GAGCTGGGAGGGGCCATATCCAACTCCTCCCAAGAAACAGGCTTCTGGTCTCCCTGGGAAGTGACTCCTTGAATGCTCCCCCTGATAGGGGAGCTCATTACCTTCCTTAGTAGCCAGGACTATTTTATGGGAGAGAGACCACATTGCCTAAAACCAGCTCTCTTAGTAGCCAACTAATTCACTTCATGATAAATTTACCAAATAATCAGCTCACCTGATTCAAAGCCTCCTATGGGTACCAAGTGCGTTATTTTTACAATTAACACATTGACTGCCAAACTAGAAAAAAAGATTTTTTCCCCTGGGGCCATGGTGTTTTATAAGAACAAAACAATCCTTTCTAATTTGTTATTTTTTATTGTTTTCTGTTAATGAGTTATGTGCAACACAATCCACATTTTTAGAATTAGATTGTCAATATTAATTGTAACAATAAGAACATCAACAAGATTTTTCACAAACCCACTGCAGGGTGGGTTTGCAGGTTTGCTTCATGAGGCCCCGGGCTCAAAACTAGCCTGAGTTAAATACAACTCACATGGCAGTCCATGTCATGTGTTCATCATCATCATCACTGTTGTTTAAGCACCTACTATGTGCTGGCCAGTGTGCACACCATACATCATCAAAATCTCCTAACAATCTTGAGAGGTGTGTACATTCATGATTTTCCCATTTTACAAATGGAGAAACTGAGATATTGAACAGCCAAGTTCTTTGTCCAGGGTCCCACAGCTGGAAAGAAAAAACCCTGGATTCAACTCCTAGGGGAGGCAGTCAAGTGTGGTAGCTAAGAGCTGGCTTCTGTGATAAGATTGATCTGAATTCAAGTCTCGGACTTGTTGCACTTATAAATATTTCTTCCACAAATGTTTGGACTTGATTCTAATGTGAGAAAACAATCAGGTGAGTCAAAATTACAGGACGTTCTGCAAAATGAAGTGCCCTGTGTTTGGAGTTATAGACTCCAAAAACGCCAATATCATGAAAGATCTCCCACCTCCCCAAAAAAAGACTAAGGAGCTATTGCAAACCAGGAGGAGATTAAGAAGGTAAAAACTAAATGCAATGTGTGATAATTAATTAGATCCTAGAGGTGGAAGAACAGCTTTTAAAAAGATACGGTAGTAAAATTCAACGGAAATCAAGCAGGTGGAAGGGTGGCGGAGGGGATGGGTAAATTCACACCTAACAGGCGCAATGCACACTATATGGGTGATGGACAAACTTATAACTTTGACTCAAACTGTACAAAAGCCAATTCATGTAACCAAAACGTTTGTACCCCTGTAATATTCTGAAATAAAAAAAAATAGTTAATTTTGTAACATCCAAGTATTGACAAGTATATATTTAAAGTAGATAATAAGATACAATAATTGAATATAAAAATATTGTATTGGAGAGAGCGTAATGAACATTTTGATTTTTTCCTAACCCTTTTTGTGTCTGTCATATTAAACAAGATAATGAGGGTAACAGGTATCATTTACAGTTATGGCGTATCTTTGTGAAGTTTTTTCACTTTAACTCCCAGATATTGACAAAATGTGGATCGTCATGACTGGGCAACAAATCATTTTCCAAGTAAGGTGGTTTTTAATTCTTCGCTTTTGCCCATTTGAAATGCAACTTCACTAAAAATGGCTCGCAATAATATTACTGTGATTTTTCCCTTCCAAGACGTGTTAGTGAGTCTACAATTAAAAATAATTTTTGATGATAAAAAAAAGATATAATTGGGGCAATTGGGGAGTTTGGAATAGGGATGGTATATTAAATAATAATTTTGCATCAATGTTTAACTTCCTGAGTATAATAATGACATTATGGTGAAGTATGAGGATGTCTCGGCTCTTAGGGTATTCATGCTAACGTATTTATGGTTGAAGGATATTGGTGCCTGCAACTTACTCTTAAAGTGCAGAGTAAGTGTATGTGTGTGAGAGTAAAAGAGGCAGAATATTAACAATTAGTAAAC